ATGATTTTAAATAAAGCACAATAAGGCAGTACTAAAAAAGCTTCAGGGTGCGACACCCTACATGACAAAATTTTCATTGGAGCCCTCCCTAGAAGGGAGAGGGGTTGGAACCCCCAACCCACCGCACTAGCAAATCCTGAACTTTGGAAGGGGGGGGGCGATTTTTTTCCAAATCCTAACCCTAACGCCCAGTAAACCCTAACCCTGTGCATAAACGTGAGTACAGTATATATATATTATATATATGAGAATTAAAAAAAAAAACAGTGTTTCTCAACTTTCTGCGAAAAAAAAACAACAGATGAAAAGGGGTTTGGGGCGAAGCCCCGACGGCAAAATCGTTTTCTTGCATTCTTCACTGTAGAAACGCATTCTCCTGACATTTACAGCTCATTATTCATCAGTGGGTTCGGGGTGAAGCCCCGACGCCAAACCGTTTTTTTGCATTCTTCACTGTGAAAACCTTTTTCATCTTGATATTTACAGCTCATTAGTTATCAGTGGGGTTCGGAGCAAGGCCCGGTCGCCAAAAGCGTTTTCTTACATTTTTCACTGATGAAACACAGTCTCCTGACATCTACATCATCCTATTTAAAATAATCTTTTCAATAATGTTTTATTTAAAAATAATATTCTTATTTCATTGCAAATAAAACGATTTGAAGATACCCAACGTATTTAGATGAAGGCTTTGTAGATCGTCGCCGAAAAAAAATATTAGAAAAATAATATTTAAAAAAAAAGCCCATTTGTGATACATTTTTTTTTTCAATAGGCAGATTTTTATCGCCACTTTTACAGCAAATCATGAATGGAAACTTAATTGTCATAGAAGATGTTACAGAGTTTAGTGTGCACAAACCATTTTGTGACTTAGATCTATAACTGTAAAGCTTTATAACTGATTTTCTTAGTCAATATAGACTTATTAGCCAAGCCTGTATTTTGTATATTTTCTTGTTTACGACATTGATTGAATTGTAATGCCAGTTTGGATTATTTTCTTAGTAAATTCCATTTTACAATTTACACATATCTCGTACGGTGAATGAACATAGGGCAAAATAAGTCTTTTTTGTGAGCTAAAAGGTGGTCGACGTAACAAAGATGACCCATGGAGATTCTTTAAAGACCAGCATAGGCGCCAACTTGCCTTAGCTGACATAGAGGACAGCATCTTGGTTACATGAGGCTTTTGAATGATAAAACAGAAAAAGGATCAATCACACATTTCAGTATCTTCTGTGACGTTTTATGGCAACCTACTATAACAGTGCAGGACAGGCCACTCCGTCTTGTTGGCTTATTTCTCACGGCTGTGGCCAAATTTCGATCCACGGTGCCCTATATTCTGTTTGACTGCCTGATCTCCGTCTCAACAGGTCAGGGAAAACAAAATATCTCGACCTGTATGCACTACAGCAGGGTTTCTGTCCAGGGCTTTTTGCTATAAAGGATTTGAGCCTCTCAAGCACTCACTCAAATGGAGTTTGATGATGTTGACTTTTTATGCCCTTTTTTCTGTCTTGGTGAGATTTATTGTAAGACTGAATTATTGATTCGCAGCTGTCGAATTATTGACTAGCCTTAGTAATCATTATTATGAATGGTAGTGAGAGCCGCAGCGTCGTCAACTATCAGTTCCCTAATCAGGATATGTCGTCCTGTTTTGGTCAAGCCAGTTTAAGAAGCCTTCCATCCAATCTACCCAGCTTGTTTTACCCTGCTCTTAATAGATAATACCTAAAAGTCTAAGAGGAAGAACTGTAAAACTTTTTATGTGAAGCTGACAGTAGTTTCAATAGCTTTATATTTGGACAAACAATTTTCATTAGTAAGAACCACTTCTGCTTAGTGTGAGCTTATTGCTAAATGAAGTTCATATTTCTATTACTTTCTACTCGTCACCCAAGAGAAATTTTATCTAGAACAAAAGAATTTTATAATGCATGTTTCTTTTTTTTTTTTACTAAAGGAGCATACTATTTCCAAAAATCTGACTTGATTGTCACTCCATTTTTTTTATGAAGCCTGTTACAGTTACAATGAAGGGATGAAATTTAGGATAATATTCTGTTTGTTTTTATGAAATGAGAATATATCAGAAATGGTCATCTTCAGTATTTAATGTTTCATTTAAAAAAAGATAATTATATTAATATATCTTTGATGTACAAACAAATTAAAACCATATAAACATTTTTTTTTGAAGTATAGATGATTAAGCTTGTAAGTGTCTGAACAAAACTACATTGACATTAACTTATTATTTTAGACTTTTTACAGGAATGTTTCTTAAGCTTGACTGAAAGAGAAAGTTGCTATAATTTAAATAATAACATTTAATAGTCTGAACATGTAACTAAAAATTTAATAATGCATTTATTGACAAGTGAATATTGAAGTAATGATGTGCTTTCTATTTTATTAAGCCCACAAGCTTTAAGTCTTATGTTAGTTAAAGCATACAGTATTGTTTTTTAAATCTTTTAAGTGTGCTAGTTAACATGATTCAAGTTACATTTATAGTAAAAAACAACAACAACAAAATGTTTAATAATTGAGTATACAATTTTTCAAAGTTGGACAACTATTTATTAAATGTATATTTACATTTATTTTATTATTTATTTATTATATAAATGAACAAAATATGTTTAAGATGCCAAAATATTAATATTAGTAAGAACAATATTATCTTCAATTTCTTAATATTATAAACACAATATTTCCTGAAGATATTTTTTAAATTATAGAAATAATGCTCAAGTCTTCAGAAATGGTAGTTTTCAAAATAATCAAATCAAGGACAACATAATATTCATGAACTTCCAGCTATCAGCAAGGTAATGGTAGGTATTATGGAGCACATTCTCCTTCAACTCAGAGGATCACAGGCATTAGACAAATTCTAGGACTGTTGATGGAATAGAAACAACATACATTAAATTCATAACAAGTCGCCAATTCAATCTTAGTTTCATATAGTACCAAACTTCCATATGTTCAAGTCCTTTACAGATAAAATCAATTCTGAAAACATCTAACAAAACAGCTCTTTAAAAAGTATATTAGAAGTTTTACATAAAAAATGCTGTGGGAACATATTATGAAACAAAAATAGATGCAAACATATTACACAAAAAAAGAAATAGTATAATAATAACAATATTTAATCTTTGACATTTTATTCAGTAATATTATGAAAATTTAATGAATCATTAAATGCATTTGAAAGTGAACGGAACAGATTTAAAAATAACTTCAGGAAATTTTCTGCACAAGCATGCTGTGGTAACCCAGATAAAAAGAGTCATTGAATATTGTACTGAGTGTTTGAAACAATTTTTGTACTGCATACATTAAAATATGAACATATCTTTGCAAATTTAAAGGGAGAATTTGAAGACTGCTTTTATTATTTTTGCACTAAGATTAAAGTATTAAATTTTAAGCTGCCTTACTTATTGGAAGGAGGTGCTGTGGCTTAGCAGTAAAGCGCTTGGCTTCCGAACCAAGGATCGAATCATGGTGAAGACGGATTTTTTATTTGAGTCTGACTCAACCTAGCTCTAATGGGTACCTGACATTAGAAAAGGGAAAGTAAAGGCGGTTGGTCGTTGTGGAGGCCACATGACACCCTGGTTAACCATAGGCCACAAAAACAGATAATCTTTACACAAGGTCTGAAAGGGAAACTTGACTTTTTTTTTTTACTTACTGGAAGTTTCATAGGAAGAGTTTCTGACATAGCAAGTGAATTTTGTGGCTTCCATCCTATTGATAAACTCTTAGGGATAAGGAAGAATAATTTCTTCTTGAAATATACATCTGCGGAAAAGAAAAGATGTGCTCATAATACAATTCTTATTAAATTTTTAAAATCTCAAAAAATTTATAGTGTATTCGTTCAAAGAATTATGAAAGACTTTCTTTAAGCATTTTCTCAACTCATCTGACATCCTTTTCCACCAGGATAATTGGTTAATCTGTACTTCTAATTGACAATTGTTGCAATATACATTCATTTCTTATGCAAGAAAGTATAATTTGAAGAAAAATACAGTTAACAATGGTATTGGCCTGCATGAACCAATTATCACTTTGAAAATACCCTGCACAGGCTGAATGGAATATAATGTTTTATTTACAACATAACAATATAGTGTAAATATTCACCTAGAAAATTAGCTTTAAATAAAATAGCACATGGATTCTTACAATTAAAATAGACGTACATACCGTTTAAAAATAAATTATGAATTAATTAAATACTTACTGTTAAATGTATTTATAAAGCTTCTGGCACTGGGTGCAAACTCCTTGAAAACGATGAACATATTGTGGCAGTATCTGGGTAAATACTTGAATTCACACATTGAAAGGTAGCAATTAGAGCACTTTGAGTACCATTCAACATTCTTTGTGTACTTCTTTGATACTTAAAAGTTAAGATCTAGATCTACAGTGAATAATAGCACAATTTGGTAACTACTCAGCCTACTGCAATGTGTGAGAATAATCAAAAAAAGAAAATAGAACCAATTAGAATGACTAGTCCAAACTAGTACAGTTGTTTTTATCTAGGCAAGATATGAGTAGTGATCAATAGAGCCAGATGTAGTACATGAGTAGTATAATTGGCAAAGGCTGTCGATAGTAGTATTGCTCATCAGAAACATTAAATCTTTATAATCAGTGTATAGGAATACATCTAGATATACAGATTCTAGATGTATAGATTAGATCATAGAATACTGATATAAGACATAAGAGTCTAGTCTAGGTCTATTGTTATATAAATATAAAATATAGATATAAAATAGATATAGATTAGAGTCATTAGTAAAGATAAAGTAGATCTTAGAATGATCTGTGAGCCAAGCACTTCCATTCATGATTCACAAATGAACAAGCTAAGGGCTAAGACTTAAGACGAGGTTAAAAAGTCAGGAAGTCACAAGTCAGATGAGATTTAGATAAGGCATAAGTGATAAGTGCCATAAGCCAAGGCGATAAGCCATGAACAAGCTAAGTCCTAAGATCATGAAGCAGATCATCTAGGTCTATTATTATCCAGACTTGAGATTTATCCTATATCTAGTCTAGAGTTAGATTCTAAATAAAATACAGATCTAGACTAGATCTTGATTCTCTGGGTTTATAAGACACACACAGATGATGAATCTAGCAACTTGGCGGTTTTGACGTTCAAAATAGATCTATTATAAATTATTAGTCATAATTTTGTTAACAGCACTATAGCCTAGGGATAGCCAGATTTTTATAAAAACAAATTCTGATTTAGCCAGATTTTTATAAAAACATTCTGATTTTATCAGCTCGTACCGATGCATTCACATAAATAGTGTTTTAACTAGTTTATTAATAAAATAAATAAACTATATAGTAGTGTGTACGGTCGTACTTGACGATAAAGTTTATTGCCATAGGTCACTACGTGCATTTGTGTGAAAGTCAAAATGTTTACGTGTCCAATCACTTTCGATTGACTTTATTAGGCGAAGAAATATTTGAAAAACAAATCACTTTCTATTGAAAACATAGAGTTGAAGCTAGGTGCTGAAACAAATGATACATACATATATTAAACATAAATGAGCAGCACCTATACCAGTGAGGGTGAAATGACGCTTCAGTTGGTGTTAACAGCGCGTATACGCTTATAGATATCTAGATCTAAAAATTAAAAAATATATATTTTACATATATAGTTAAACACATAAATATATTGATCTAGAATTAGATCTGGATCTGGTCTAGGTCTATATTTTGAATAAACCATTTGTTTGTCATTGTAAATTAGCTTTCACCTTAGACTTAACTTAAGCCGTCTTAGGCGTTTTTAACCTTAAACTAGATTTAGACTAGACCTTTAAAAACTAAAATCAACAGTCATCATGAAATTGCTCTGGCTATTTATCCTAATAATTACTAAATACACACTAGCTGAACACAGAACTAGATCTACCTCAGTCAACACTAAACTTAAAAAGGAAAAAAAACAGTCAAAATCAATCATCACACTTTAGATCAATGCAACTTCAAAATTAACCTAACATACACATCCATAACATTAAAGAAGATTACCCATCACAATGGGAGGTTCTCAATCAGACACAGTAGAAATAAATACCTATCACTGTTAATATTAATAGCAGGAGATGTAGAGTCAAATCCAGGGCCTAGATCTAAAGATAGATGCAACATCTGCAAAAAAGTATGCACCATGAAACAGAAAGCCATTCAATGTGACACCTGCGATGAATGGTACCATGCATCATGTCTCCATATGTATACATCTGTGTATTATACCTTAGGCAACAAAGATGCATCATGGCACTGTGTACCGTGTGGGTTACCTCAGTTTACATCAGGACTGTTTGATTCCTTTGATGCGGACACTTCTAACCCATACAACATCCTAAACACCATCCCAAAACAAACTCACCAACCACTAGCCAGATATACTCCTGTTAATCCTAAATCTACTAAAATTAATACAAGAGCCTCACTAAACAAACCTACTAAAGAAGTAATACCAAAATGCCTTGAAACCTTAGTAATCAATTTTCAAAGCATTAGGAACAAAACAGCAGACTTAGAAATTTTATTAGAATGTGAGAAACCAGACATAATTGCAGGAACAGAAACTTGGCTACATCCTGAAATTTATAATGCAGAAATTTTCAATAGTAATTATGAAATTTTTAGAAAAGATAGGGCTGATAATCATGGAGGAGATCTTTTAGCAGAAGGAATTACCTTACCTAACTCAAAAAATATAGAATCTACATTTTGTAAAACCTCAACACCCCTAATAATAGGCAGCATTTACAGACAACCAAATTCTAGTTTAGAATACATGCAGGATCTATGTAATCAGATTACTACACTTAAAGAGACAAATAAAAATGCAGTTTTTTGGATTATGGGCGATTTCAACCTACCTGATATAAATTAGAAAACACTAACCATAGATAAACATTAAAACCTTAAGGACATAAATGAGCTTTTCATAGAAACTTTACACAACCTAAGTTTAGATCAAATCATTAAAAAGCCAACTAGATTAAACAACACATTAAATCTCTTCTTAACCAACAGACCTGGATTAGTAGTTGATTATGATATTATCCCTGGTCTATCAGACCATGAGATCATAAAAATACACAGTCAGATAAAAGCAGTAGCCAATACAAAACCCAAAAGAAAAAATCTTACTCTGGAATAAATGTAACCTAACACAACTACACCAAACTGCATTAAACTTTCAACAAACATTCTTATTAGAAAAAGACATTAACCAACCAGTCGATGACCTCTGGAATTTCATTAAAAACCATCTTAAAAGCATTATAGAAAATCATATACCAACTAAATACACATCAAACAAACAAAAAAAAATGCTGGTTTAATAATAGACTAAAGAAGCTTTGTAAACAGAAGGAAAACCTATATAGAAAATTTAAAGAAACCAAGGCAGAAAGAGTTTACAAAAAGTATAAAAAAATTAAACACCTAACCCAAAAAGTAAGCAGACAGCTGCAGAGTGAATACATAAACAATGTAATATCTAAAGATAACAACAAAAACCTATGGTCATACATTAAGTCTAAGAAACTGGAAACAACAGGCATAGTGCCATTAAAAGATGAACATAACATAATACATAATATTAATGAAATTAAAGCAAACATCCTAAACAAATACTTTGCATCAGCATTCTCAGCCCCAGGAGACAAAGACATTAGTTAATTTGAACCAAGTAGACAACATAGAAGATTTAGTAGTACAAGAAAATGGAATTCAAAAACTATTAGCCAACACCAAACCAAATAAAGTGTCTGAACCTGTTGGTATTCCATCTAGATTACTCAAAGAACTAAGCAATGAGCTAGCCCCAGTGTTCAAAATACTTTCAGGCATCGCTTAACCAGGGCAGAGTACCAAAGGACTGGAAAGAAGCTAATGTCACCCCCCTATTTAAAAAAGGAGAAAAATCTGATCCAGGAAACTACAGACCAGTATCATTACCAGCATCACATGTAAAATCCTAGAACACATAATATGTAGCAACATCATAAACCACTTAGACAAACATAATGTTATCACCCCATACCAACATGGCTTTAGGAAATATAGATCATGTGAAACACAACTAATAGGACTAATTGATGATTTTTCAAAAGGTTTAGATAATAGTGAACAAATAGATGCTATTTTACTAGATTTTTCCAAGGCTTTTGACAAAGTTCACCACCATAGTTTGCTTAAAAAATTAAAATATTTCAGCATTAATGGTCCACTGCATCAGTGGATTAAAGATTTTCTGATAGGGAGAGAACAAACTGTAATAATAAATGGCTCTAAATCAACACCATTAACAGTAAACTCAGGTGTACCTCAAGGTACAGTCTTAGGTCCACTACTATTTTTAATTTGCATAAATGATTTACCAAATTGCATTAGTTCAGGAACAAAAGTCAGATTATTTGCAGACTATTACATAATATATAGAACAATAAAGACAACACAAGACACAGATATTTTACAAAGAGAATTAGATGAATTACAGAAATCAGAATCAAATTGGAGCATGTCTTTCCAACCAGAAAAATGTCAGTTGTTAAGAGTAACAAAAAAACTAAAACAAATTAATTCCACTTATCTTATTCATGGCAAACCAGTAACACAGACTAAAAAACGCAAAATACCTAGGTGTTATAATAAATGAAAAACTGTCATGGAATCCACATATTAATGAAACTACCAAAAAATCCAACAAAGCATTAGGGTTTATTAAAAGAAATTTCTATAAATCAAATAAGAACATAAAACTAAAATGTTATTTAACCTCGGTTAGGCCAATAATATGCATCCACCGTTTGGGACCCCCTCAACTCAAGAAAACATTAAGAAACTGGAACAAACACAAAATAGAGCAGTGAGATGCATAACAAACGAATATTCACATTTGACTAGAGTAACACCATTAGTAAAATCACTAAATTTAGAAAGCCTTCAGGACAGAAGTAGCAATTATATATAAAACACTGAACCATTATCTTCAAATACAAAAACAAAATTTAATAAAATACTCTGAAAGACACAAAAATAAAGGCACATTCCTCGTCCCATATGCTAGGACAAATTTGTACAAATACTCCTTCTTCCCTAGTGCTATTAGAGCATGGAATGGGTTGCCTGAGCTAGCCAGAAAAACCAGTGACTTGGCAGAATTTAAGTCATTGGTTAATATGCATGACTAAATGCATGACGCGTAGGACGTAATCATCTTTTTTGAAGTAACGTCTGTATTATATAAGATAAGAAGATAGTATGGGAAAGGACCAATGGCGAACGCTTTTGTGCCATTTTTTAGTTTAGAATTTATAACTCCGCAATTGTTAAACTTATTTAAAAAATGAAAACATCTCAACTCCGAAATTGTTAAACTTATTTAAAAAATGAAAACATCTCCGGACTCCCCAGCTATTGGGCGATAAAACTAAATTTGACTTTTTTTTTTCCATATCAGCTATTAAATTTATAATTCAGGTCAACTTGCGGTAGGGGTCGGACCTAATCAGTGAACGCAATTTTCGCGGGAGTCATAATGAGCGAAAGGCCGTAAAAAATAGCGAAATAGCATGTTAAAATATAGGAAATTATGCTTCAATTAGTTCTATCATCTAACTTCTTCCATGAAGCATTAACTATTGTCCTCCTTGTGGCATTAGGCCTAAATTTGTTTTCAATTTTCTCGTGCTCCACATCTCCTTTCTCTGCTTGGAACTGATGTCTATATAGCCTACGAAACTTGCGATCAAATATTCTTTTTTTTTAAAGAAAGGAAGAAACTACAAAAATCTATCTCGCCACCTCCCTATCGGCGAGTCCACGTCGTTTTATTGTCCATTTAATAAACTCTCGTTACTGCGACAATTTTTTTTAAAGATCACATGTTCAGTGGACTTAATCACCATCAACTCGATCTCCCACACACATACAAATACACGCGCGCTGATTGACCCAAAGGCAGATCCCGAATGCGATGGCTTGATGATGTATGGAGACAGATCTACAACAGCTTGGGTTTCGGGCATGGAGACGAAAGGCTCAGGAGAGATCTTGTAATTTTATACATGTATATTATATGGTAACTCATATTTATTACTAAATATATAGTTCGCGTTTTTTCCGATCGAATATTTTCTCCTGGAAAACTCTTGGAAATCTCCTGAAATCATAATCTCAGAATGGTGGGGGA